AAAAAAAAAAAAAAGATTTACTTCAAAGAATGATCTCTAAGGACAAGCTGATAGTTACTCTTAGAAGAGACAGAACTCTAGGCCTGGGTGCTATCCCTCAGCTCTTCAGCTCAAGGTGAGCACTCTACCACTTGAGTCACAGTGCCACTTCCAGTTTTTTGTTGATTTATTGTACATAAGAGTCTCATGGACTTTCCTGCCCAGGCTGGCTTTGAACCAAGATCCTCATATCTCAGCCTCATAAAAAGCTGACCCTTTAATTTTATACTTTAATGTATTTTTAAACAGATGTAATGTTGACATAAGTATATATGTACTGTGGATATGCCTATTTTTTTAATAATAACACATCAATATCAAGGCAGAGGATTAAGAGGTAAAATCAGTTTTGGAATCCTAACTCAACAGCTCTACTCAAATCTGAGCAAAATGTAGGTTGCAGTCTAATCTGAGTCGCACAAAGTAACCAGCAGCTGCTTATCACTCTGGAGATAAGAATCTGGTTAAAAGGTCATTACTTCAAGTGTTTACTCATTGAAAACAACTATTCTCTGATGCATTAGTGACTACACAGAGAAGAAACTTGGTTAATGTTGAATGAAGGAAGTAGTAAAAGTAGTACTTGCCGGATCCCAATGAAGGATAAGATGGATGTAATAGATAAACTGCCATTTTACTGAGCTAGACAGTAAATTTATTCCTTACAAGACAGTAAGATAAATGGGTTTCTGTCCAATTTTACAGATGAAGATATTCAACTTCAGAGAAACTTGATACGGCTGACAGTTACCAGATAGATCCTAATGGAAGCAGTCCAGATAAGAAAATTATAATTGGATAAATTTGGGGTGTGGACAAGCCCTTAACTAATGTGACTCTGTTTACTTGGCTGTTCTAAATTAAGGACTCAAATATTTTAGACATTTTTGTACTTTATTACTTTCCTAGTCTGGTACTATCAAAACTGGAATCACTGATTTTAAGGATTAAATCCTTCTACTAAGTTCTATAAATTCAAGGGTTGATTGTAAGGAAAGGGATAGATTGCCAGAAAAAAAGAATATTGCCTAGCAGCACTTGAGAGGCTGAAGCAGGAGGATCATAAGTTCCAGGACAGCCAGGGTAACATAGGGAGGCCCTATTCCCCCTGTCCCATCCCCAAATAGACTAAGAGACAACTTCTCAGCTACAGAAGCTATGTGACTTATTCATCATGTAACCTCTACACATTCCTAAAAACAGGCTATGGACTAAAACAGAGATTTCTTCACACAGGATTCATGAATAGGCTTTAAGAGCTAAGACTATCTTGAAATTGATACAAACTTTTGTGTATCAGTGTATTTTTTTCTGCTGCTACAATCCTAATAGTTGAATACTGACTGAGGTTCTTCCATGAGTTTATAAAATCTGAGATGTGGAATTTAAAAACAAATATTTATTGAATTTCAAGCTCTTACAAGGCAGATAATTCATATATTCTGAAAGACACTTTTACTTAACTCTGTCAAAGTAACAACAAATGGGTTTCAGAATAAACCATTGAAAAATCTGAGTGTAAATGTTCTCAATTAATCCAACTGTCCCATTCCATTTAGGAGGACAGTTTTGGGGTTTTTTTTGGGGGGGTCCAGTCGTGGGGCTTGAACTCTGGGCCTGGGCACTGTCCCTCAGTTCTTTAGCTCAAGGCTAGCACTCTACCACTTGAGCCACAGTGCCACTTCCAACTTTTTTCTTTTTGCTTATGTGATGCTGAGGAATCGAACCCAGGGCCTCATGCTTATAAGGCAAGCGCTCTACCACTGAGCCACCTTCCCAGCCCCAGGAGGATAGTTTTTACAGGAAGTATGAGTCTGAAGCTATGATCTCAAACAAACAGGCTGAGTTAGGTCTGGTCAGAGAAATTAAAGAATTCATAAGCTTTATCTGGAAGTCCTCATTTCTGAGACAAAAATGTTTAGGAGCTGGACAGTGTCTAAAATATGAACATTGGGAGAGGGATGAGGGCTAACAAAGAGGGTGAATGAGGAAGAACATGGTCAACTGTAGTATCTTTGTATATATTAAATTAGAACAATGAAAACTATTAAAATTGTTTTAAGAAGCCAGACACTGGTGTCTTACACCTGTAATCCTAGCTACTCAAGAGGCTGAGATCTGAAGATCATGGTTCAAAGCCAGCCTATCCTGGGCAGGAAAGTCCATGAGGCCCTTGTCTCCAATTACCCAGCAGAAAACCGGAAGTGGTGATATAGCTCAGAGTGGCAGAGCACTAGCCTTGAGGAAAACAAAGTGGAGGAATGGATCAAGTGATAAAGCATCAACTTTGAGCAAAAAATCAAAGTGAGAGAGTGAGGCTCTGAGTTCAAACCCCAGTATTGACAAAAAAGAAAATGGGGCAGACTGTTTTCTCAAAGATGACTAATCCATTTGCTTTAGAA